ACAAACAGCTTCAGAAGGAATTCTTTGAGCAACGGAGAGCATCATTGCAGACCCTCCAAGTGTCCAAATTTTCCAGAGACAGTCCCAGATTTACAGAAGCTGTCCCAGTTTGTGATTTGATCTCAGGATGTCCTGCTTTTCCTTAGGATGTCTCTATTTTCATCAGAGAAATGTTGGTGGGTATAGTAGAACGTCCCTATTTTCATTGGAAGTTATAGAGTTATGTGACCCCCTCCCCTCCTGAGCCAAGGAGATAAGTAACCTTTAGAAGACATCAGAAGGCAGCCCTGTAAGTTTTTTAATGTTTGATATTTTATTATGTTTTTATGTTTGTTGAGAGCTGCCTAGAGTGGCTGGGATATAAAGATATTATTATTATTATTATTATTATTATTATTATTATTATTATATAATAATAGAGTAGGACATCGCTATTTTCATTGAAGAAATGTTGGATGGTATGTCATTGGTTGGGCCCTGCCTCATGAGCTGTTACATTTTCATTGGGAAACCTGTGAGTCTCTGGATGTTGTTTGTCTCCAGTACTCATCAATCCCAGTACGATTGGTGGCGAGGGATCATGCAAGCTGTAGTCTAGCAACATCCAAAGGGTCACAAGTACCATAAGGCTACTAGCCACTATGCCTCCATTCTGCCTTCATTGTCTGAAAAACAGTTGTTAGGAATCACAAGTGATGGGAGTTTCTGTTGTGCCCAAGTCCTATTGGGGGGCTTCTTGAAACAGATATCTTGTTGGCCACTGTGAGAACAGGATACTGGACCAGTTGAACCACTGGTTCAGGAGGGCTCTCCTTAGGTTCTCGTGGTTCATGGTGCTATTTTGATGCTATTTAGTGCTTAGGTTCATCAAGGTTACGCAGGAGGGTTTCACAACAACATATAGTGTATCTTCTTTCACTGCTTCCAATCCATTTCCTCATTCTCAGGCTCAAAATAGAAACAGGGGTTTCTCTAAGAAACGAAGGGAAGCAGAGGGAAACCGAGAGATACATCCTTGTAGAGAAAAGGTGATTCAGATCTGCAAGGGGAGGCAAAGGGGGAATCCAGCCTTGGACAACCAAGAAAGCAAACAGCCCAGCGGTCAAATCCTGTTGGGGCCAGAATGAAGTAGGATTGTCAGCAGAGCAGCAAAATAAACATGCACCCTGGCCTGCCAAGACTTATGGCCCTGGGTGCAAATACACAATCACAAAAGGGCTTAATGCTCAATAGATGATTATTTTTTGGAATGATCACATACAGTGGAGGCTGCTCCTTCAGGGCAAATGGGGCTGTGCCCCATCCTCCTCAGTCAGCACTCAGCAGCCTCCAGCTGTCTGCCCTCTTGCTTATAATAAAGAATAGAAACCATACATGCTTTGGTTAAAACACAGTGATGCGTCTTGGAACCCTTGCCCTGTATCTCTGTATCTTTGCTTTTGAAAATGTTTTTGTAGACCTCCCAAGGAAATTAAAAAAACATTTTCATGTATGCAACAACGGCAGCAAGAGTCTTAATAGCACAAGGATGGAAGAATGAGGAAATCCCGACTAAAGAACTGTGGCAAGAGAAATTGATGGACTATGCGGAATTGGCGAAATTGACACATAAACTACGTGACAAGGATAACTGTGACTTTAAAGAAGAATGGGAACCTTTTACGAAGTATTGAAAGAAACAACAAAATGAACTGGACTCCTTGGCAGGTTTTGAATAAACTCTCACAAATTCTTTATTGGCAACATACAGATAGATAAATTGAGGATCTTTACAATTTTATAACATGCAGAGAATAACATGTGAAATAATAACATGTGAAATAATAACATGTGAAATAATAACATGTGAAATAATAACATGTGAATAACATGAGAAACCAGAGAGAGGAGCTGAGGGAAGTCTGTGGGTGGGAGGGTGGGTTTTTCTTTTTCAGGGGGGAGGGGGAAATGGAGGGGGGAAATGTGGAGAATGTATTTTTGTTAAATTGTTATTTTGAAATCCCTAATAAAAATATTTTAGAAAAGAAAATGTTTTGTGGGTCATTGCACCAAAATAAAGAATATTGTTGTTGCATATTCAGTCCGGAGAGTTACCATGGCTGTCAGTGCTTCCTTGGGAGCTGTTGCTCCTTGTAGAACACATCAGGGAGGAGGAGGAGGAGGAGGAGGAGGACAAAATTAGAATTCATAGAACTTGTTGGAGGTTTTTAAGCAGAAGTTGGGTGGCCATCTGTCTTGGATGCTTCAGCTGAGATTCCTGCATTGCACAGGATTGGAATAGATAACCCTTAGGATTCCTTCCAACTCTACGATTCTGTCATTCTGCCTGTCATCGGCTCTGGCCATTGATGGTATAGTATAAATAATAGGTTGGGGTGGGGGGCTAATCCTGTGACAAGGAATTTAAGGTGCTGCGGATCTCCACTGGTGCTAAGCCCCCAACCCTGGCTCAGCCAACAATATGCCGATGTACGTAACTTGCTCAGCTGGCTGAGCCAAAGCCAGTGTCAATTTCCAAAAAGAAATTGACAGAGATGGGGGGGGTTAGGTTTGCTCTTAAGCCCATTCAGCTCAGTCATGCCACCTGGCAACACAGAGCAGAGCTGAATGACAGTGGAATGGACTCCCGTAAAAGGTGATGGATTCTCCTTCATTGGAAGTTTCTATACAGAGGTTAGATGGCCATCTGTCAGGGATTTTTTTAGCTGTGACTCCTGCAATGCAGGAAGGGACCAGATGAGCTTTGGAGTCCCTTCCAACTCCACAATCCTATGATTCTATGGAAATGTCAGTAGCATGAGGGCCCACAAAGACTGATTGGTTCCTCAGGCTCCTTACTAAATGGCTATACACACCCACCTGGCTCTCCAGATCTGGGGGGGGTGGGGGGAATCAAACAGCACAGTCCTAATGGAAGAGATAGAAAGCAGGGGCCCATTCCATCAGCACTGCTGAAAGAACCGCTCCATTGAGCTCCCCCTGAAATATTTCCACAGCAGCAAGTCTAATGTGCCTGGGTAGATTTTCCTTTTCTTTCTCTATATCTGCTCTTCGTTTATATCGTTTATATATCAAAATTTGTCTGGCAGGGCAAAAAGCCCAGAATAAAATTTAAATATTAACTGATGCAAAAGAAAGAGGGGGGTCTGCCCTGCCGGACTTAAAACTATATTATGAATCAGCGGCTTTCTGCTGGTTGAAAGATTGGCTACTTCTTGAGAACATGGACATTTTAGACTTGGAAGGTTTCAATAACAGGTTTGGCTGGCATGCATATATATGGTATGACAAAGTAAAATCTCATAAAGGTTTTAAAAACCATATTGTTAGGAAAGCACTATACAATGTTTGGATTCGATATAAAGACTTGTTGGAAAACAAAACCCCTAGGTGGTTGTCACCAATGGAGGCTAAGGAAGTAAAAAAACTTAATATGGAATCTAAATGGCCAAAATACTCTGAAATTTTAGAACAAGAAGGAGGAAAAGTGAAATTACAGAGTTATGAGAATTTGAAGTTTAAAGTAAGAGATTGGCTTCATTACCTTCAGATAAATGAGCTATTCAAACAGGACAGGAAAATTGGCTTCCAGGTGGAGAGATCAAAACTAGAAACGGAATTGTTAGAACCCAATACTAAGAACTTGTCAAGAATGTATAACTTGCTGTTGGAGTGGAATACACAGGATGAAACAGTTAAATCAGCTATGATCAAGTGGGCACAAGATATTGGTCATGACATTATGTTTGCTGACTGGGAACAGTTATGGACCACCGGTATAAAGTTTACGGCATGTAATGCCTTAAGAGAGAATATTATGAAAATGATTTATAGGTGGTACATGACCCCAGTCAAGCTTGCAAAAATCTATCATTTGCCCAATAATAAATGTTGGAAATGTAATGAGACTGAAGGTACTTTTTATCACCTTTGGTGGACGTGCCCGAGGATTAAGGTTTTCTGGGAAATGATTTATAATGAAATTAAGAAGGACCTTAAATGTACCTTTCACAAGAAACCAGAGGCCTTTCTCCTGGGCATGGTTGGCCAATTGGTGTCAAGGAAGGATAGGATGTTTTTTATGTATGCTACCACAGCAGCAAGGATTCTCTTAGCAAAGTATTGGAAGACACAAGAACTACCCACGCTGGAAGAATGGCAGATGAAGGTGATTGACTACATGGGACTGGCTGAGATGACTGGCAGAATCCGTGACCAAGGAAAAGAGACGGTGGAAGAAGATTGGAAGAAGTACAAAGATTATCTTAAGAATTGTTATAAAATTAATGAGTGTTAAAATGTCAAGGGTATTGGAAAAAATAGAATTACAGCTGTAAATGATTGGGTAAGAGAGGCAAGATTAAAGAAAGCGAACAAATAAGTTAATGAAGTGAGGGGTTGTTGAGAAAATTTTAAAAAAAAAGGATGCAGAAAAGGGAGGCATGGGGAAGTCGGCGAAACAAGTTTAAGAAAGGAGGTTATGAAATTATACGTGTTTATATGTTTTTTTCGTTTGTTGATGTATTGTGAAGTGTATTGTGTTTATTTTATGTTGGAAAATCAATAAAAAAATTTATTAAAAAAAAAAAGAGAGATAGAAAGCAGGGGCCCATTCCATCAGCACTGCTGAAAGAACAGCTCCATTGAGCTCCCCCTGAAATATTTCCACAGCAGCAAGTCTAATGTGCCTGGGTAGATTTTCCTTTTCTTTCTCTATATCTGCTCTTCGTTTTCGCTGCATCTTTTAGAACAGAAGCCTACAAAACAGGCTGTCTCATAGGAGCCAACTTCCAGGGGCTACGAGGGCTGAGCCTCTGCAAAGTTGATGGGCATTCCCATTCAAATGGTGCATGTGCACTGCATCATGTGAGCGATTATGCAAGGCAGGGATCACCTGGCATTGGGAGTCAGCTCTGTAGCTGCCAGCAGTATTGGTTACCGATCTCAAAGGAAAGAATCCCAGGAATGCAGTTAGAGGCGTGGTCCCAAGGTCTATAAAAGCTTGTGCATTTCTAGCTGAAGCACTGAAAGCTTGGGCGGACAAGAGATAGGGACGTTTCCAGCCAAGAAGTATGGGGAAGTTTCCGAGACTGGTGAGCATTGCTTGCTTGGTAATAGGGAGTAAAACAATCCTCTCCATCTGGGGCTTTAACACAAAATCCATAGTCTGTACCCTTTCCAACTGGTATGGGTGGGGAGGTGTAATCAAAGACTCATTACCATTTCTGCAACAGGGTCCCTCCAAATCTCTCTCTCCAGCCACCCAATCAGCATGAAAACGAAACTTTTTAGTCACTGAAGTCTTCTTGTACTTGGGGCTGATTGGAGCCAAGTATGAGTGAAAGGAGGTAAGTCAGCTGCTGAGGATTGGCTCCTCGGGTCACTCTGGAGAAGGCGCACCAAGGAGGAATTGTTTTGTATGCTCCCATACTAGGCATTTAGAAACACTGGAAAGGTGGGCAAGCTATGTTACATGCAACAGACTTTAAGGAAAACATGATTTAAGTCTCTTTGAAAGAAGATCTCAGAGCGTCCCAAATCATGTGCCCATGTATATGCACAGAAGATAGTAGATCTAGCTGAAAGGCAAGACATGGAGAGCCACACTGTTCTTTGTAATGCATCTCTAATTATTATTACTTTATGATTGTAAGGTTATTGTATAATCTTAGGAGGAGACATGACTTTGACTATAATGAAGGGACCATGAGCTTCTGAATTTGCTGCCACCCTACTGTGTGGGTAAGGGATGCGGGTGGCGCTCTGGGTTAAACCACAGAGCCTAGGACTTGCCAGTCAGAACGTTGGCGGTTCGAATCCCCATGACAGGGTGAGCTCCCGTTGCTCGGTCCCTGCTCCTGCCAACCTAGCACTTCGAAAGCACGTCAAAGTGCAAGTAGATCAATAGGTACCACTCTGGTGGGAAGGTAAATGTTGTTTCCGTGCGCTGCTCTGGTTGCCAGAAGCGGCTTAATCATGCTGGCCACATGACCCAGAAGCTGTACGCTGGCTCCCTCGGTCTGTAAAGCGAGATGAGTGCCACAACCCCAGAGTTGGCCACGACTGGGCCTAATGGTCAGGGGTCTCTTTACCTTTTACTGTGTGGGTATGTCAAAATGGTGGCTGGTTGATTCTACCCCTCTTCTTCATTAAATGCATCCTCTCTCTTTCATCCCCTCAGCTTCTCCTGACTGTCCTGGTTCTCCCAGCATGTGGTAAGTGAGTGAATGTGGTCTGTCTTAGAACTTCTCCTGACAACCAGCTTCTGGAGCACGCATGCGGATTTTCTTCAACAAAGCTTATGATTTAGGAGAAACTGGGACCTCTTGGAATGTTGATGCTCTGAACCCTTCCATGTAGGCGTGGGGCTGTATAGGTGTGTATAAATAAGCCATATATCATAAAGACACCATTGTCTCCACTTTGCCTTATTTCCTAAGGGAAACACAGGCCGTGCATAAGCGCACCTGGAACCCCTAGAATCTCACACTGCTCTCAAGATTGGTGTCGCATATAACAGCATTCTGGGAACAGTAGTATAGTAGTCATGTTTCCCTTTTTTTTTCTAGTGCCACCATTTTTTTGGCACCATTTCCCCCCTCTCTCTCGCACGCCACGGCGCCTCCCTCCTCCTGGCTTCCCCCTGCCCTTCTCCCTGCCTTGTGTAGTGGAGGAAGGGGGCTGGGCTGAGCTGGCTGAGTGCTGGTCCCTCTACCACCACAGACAGCCTCTGCCGCTTGCAAGGGCAGGCACAGAAGCTGTGGTTGGCAGAGCACAGCGCTGAAGCAGCAGCACAGGTAGGCAGGGGGAGGGGAGGGGGTGGGGGAGGGGGGAGAGAGAAGCCCCACCCCCATCCAGCCCGCCACAAGGTCTGGGAGATGATGAACCAGCCCCCTCTAAAAAAAGTTTGCTGACCCCTGCCCTACACTAAAAGCTAAAGCTGTAGAAACTACAGAAAACTGTCTGCCTTGGCAATAAAGAGTTAACCACCTGCTGTGTTCCTTTGGCTGGGGGTCATTTGTGAATAAAGTCAAAAGATGCTGCAGGGGAGTGTTGGTCATGCCAAAGCATCTCAGAGAGAAGTGGGTGGTGGCAAAATATGAACTTGCTATGCACCTAGATCGGTGGTCTCTCATCCAGGAACTGACCAAACCTCACCCTGCTTGGCTTCACCAAAGTGGTGGCTTTGTGTGCCTTCACACCATGCCCTGCATAGTCAGGCACATTTAGTGAATTCAAACACCTTTTCATTGCTACTTATTTCCACTCAAAAAACTTCCCATTCTCCAAAAGTGTACCTGGAGTAAAGGGCCATGAATAGTTTCTCTCTGTCTCGTCTCATCTCAGCTTCAACTTGCACGACTCGCTGGTTCGACCGGGACGACCCTTCGGGAGTGGGTGACTTTGAAACTCTCGCTGACCTGAGGAGGGAATATCCCATGGACATTTGCCCTAAACCCACTGGAATTGAAGCTCAGACTGTGGATGGAACCCCAGCATCCAGCACTGGGCAAATCTTTCATCCGTGAGTGATGCCAGAAATGAAGAATGATGATCATCCTTTGGAGGGGAAGGGGAAGTTTAGCTCTTTCTCTCCTTGCCATGCACCCAAGAAAAATAGATTCTTTGAAGCTGCTCTTTGTACAGTCATACCTCAGGTTACAGAGGCTTCAGGTTGCATTTTTTTGTACCGGAATGGTTTACTTCCGGGAAGTAACGGAATGGGTTACTTCCGGGTTTCGGCGGTTGCGCATATGCAGAAGCACCGAATCACAACCCGCATGTGCGCAGATGCACCGCTGCAGGTTTCAAAAGCTGTGGGTTGCGAACGTGCATCCCACACGGATCACGTTCGCAACCCAAGCATCCACTGTATTTCAAAGGACGGTTCTGTTGGATCCCAGTTTAGTGCAGATTATCTCTCTACAACTTCTCTCTTTCCTGGTCACAGTCTTTTTTTTTTTTAAATGATATTTATTAACGTTTCAAAGAAAAAGTTACAAAAATAGGAAAAAGAAAAAAAGAAAATACAAAATACAAAATACAGAAAAAATAAAAACAATTAAAAACAAATCAATCTTTTTCATATCTTGTCTTTCATTTGCCTGTTTCGCTGACCTCCTCACACCTCCTTTTTTTGTATTCCGGTTCAGTTAGTTATTTCAGCAAATCCTTACCCTCTTTGTTTTTATCTTAATCCTTTATCTTAATATATTATAACTTTGGATTCTCACCTGTTAACAATCCATTTTTACATACTCCTTTATAACATTGCTGCTAAAACCACTTAACTTCATTCCAACATCATTCTAACATTCATTAATTTTACAGTATTTCTGTAGATAGTCTTTAAATTTCTTCCAATCTTCTTCCACCGACTCTTCTCCCTGGTCTCGGATTCTGCCAGTCATTTCCGCCAGTTCCATATAGTCCATCACCTTCATCTCCCATTCTTCCAGAGTGGGTAGATCTTGTGTCTTCCAATACTTTGCAATAAGTATTCTTGCTGCTGTTGTAGCATACATAAAGAAAGTTCTATCCTTCTTTGGCACCAATTGGCCAACCATGCCCAGGAGAAAGGCCTCTGGTTTCTTCAGGAAGGTATACTTAAATACCTTTTTCATTTCATTGTAGATCATCTCCCAGAAAGCCTTAATCCTTGGGGACGTCCACCAAAGGTGAAAGAATGTACCTTCAGTTTCTTTACATTTCCAACATTTATTATCGGGCAAATGATAGATTTTTGCAAGCTTGACTGGTGTCATGTACCACCTGTATATCATTTTCATAATATTCTCTCTTATGGCATTACAAGCCGTGAACTTCATACCTGTGGTCCATAACTGTTCCCAGTCAGCCATCATAATGTTATGTCCAACATCTTGTGCCCATTTAATCATAGCAGATTTCACCGTTTCATCCTGAGTATTCCATTTCAACAGCAAGTTATACATCTTTGACAAAGTCTTAGTTTTGGGATCTAACAGTTCTGTTTCCAATTTTGATTTTTCCACCTGGCTTTCCTGGTCACAGTTTGGTGAGTCAGAATGCTTCTCTCATTCTCTTTCTCTCCCCACTAGGTTTAACACTAAAGAAGGATTTGCTTGTGTAAATAAGGAGCAGAAGTATTTCTGCTTGGATTACAAAGTCCGCTTCACCTGTCCCTCAAACTTCTGCTCAGGTGAGTCAGCCAGGACATCTTGTGGTGAGATGGGGGAATGATCTTCAACCACTTAAACTATGTCTGTATAACACCAAACCAATTGCTCAAAAGTGAACTGTCTTCCACTTTTATACTATATAAGAGAGGCTGGAACTCACAGTGTGCTCAGAAAAGGTCTCAATAAATATCCCTCCAAAATCCACAGTGTGTAAGAGAGTTGCTTCCTCTGCCTGCTCACTTTGGCTGCATTTACACAAGAGTTTATTCCGTTTCCCTGACATTTCTGCCATTGTTAATTTCCGCATTGTACATGAACTTTCACAAGGCATAAAAACCAGAAACATAGTAGAATATAGCGCAAGTTTAGTGCGCATCCCCCCCCAAAAAAGGGCTTCTTCTGGAAGCAAATAATACAGAAATGAGCACTAAAGTGGCTTTTATATCGTATGAAACCTCAAATGCAAGGTGGGAATTAACAGTTAGGGAAACAGTCTGGAGAACAGAACAAACGTCCATGTGATAGCAGCCTAAGTCCTGCTCAAAGCAGACCCCTTTGAAATGAATGGGCCTGTGTTAGTCATCATGACTATTACCTTTAGTGGGTCTACTCTGAGTAGGACTGACATTGGCTACAACTCCCGAAACAGGACACCCACCATCCCGCTTCTTCTGAGCTGAAGAGCGCTGCAAAGTGTTTCTCTTGGGGAGCAATCCATTTCACATCTGGAAGCTGACCCGGGGCTGTCAGTTGACTCTTTCTTTGACACTGGAGACAAGAGAGCATCCTCCGGTTTGTGGTGAGGGAGAATGGCAGCATCCTTGATTAGCAGGTGCAAGATCGGCAGGGCAGGACTTAACATCTCTGTTCTTCAGGAGAGGCCAATGGTTGGATTTTGCTGCTGTTGCTTCTGCCTGGAGCAAGAATGGCCTCACTCCACCCAAAGGCGCCCCAGTCCTCTGTGTTTGTATGTGGAGTCACATTTTCCTCCTGATAAAATATTGCAACCTGAGTGTATGGGGGCAGGGGTGGGAAATATACCAGCCCTGCTATTTTAGGGAACTATTGCCTGTGGTTGTGGAAGAACAAGCGTGCCCATGTTGCACAACCAAACATTTGCTCCCGCAGTTCCTTTTTCCTTTTCCTCGTGCCCTTGCAATGTGGCAAGAAAGGAGCAAACGTGACAGTCTGTGTGTAACAGGCCTCACAATGCCTCTCTGGTAACAGAGGACAACCCCCGTTTATTCCCCTGCTGAATCCCCCAGTCAAGCTGGACTGGAACCAATAGAGGAACATAAGCAGCTGACTGGTACTGAGTCAGACCCTTGGTCCATCTAACTCAATATTGTGTGCACTGGCTGCCAGCAGCTCTCCAGGGTTTCAGACAGGGAGCACCTCCAGTCTTACCTGGAGATGCTGAGGATCGAACCAGGGACCTTTCGCATGCAGGGCAGGTGCCCTGCCACTCAGCTACGCTTGCACAGCTCCTGTAAGGCTGATATCAGAAGATGGCATGGTTGGGCCCTTGCTGAAGCCCACCACACTGCAAGGGCCTCAGTCTCCCTTGCTGATTCCCCTCTGTGCTGCCACTGCCCGTCCAACTGCCCTGCTTGAACCAGCAAGGAGTGATAAGGATGGAGTACAGGTTGGACCCTGGCTAGGATGAGCAAAAGCCATGGGGGCTTGGAAGGGCCCCTCACAGGCTCATCTGGCAAGTGAATGACCTGGGACACTGCTGAGCAAGTGTTGTTGTTCTTGTTGTTTAGTCGTTTAGTAGTAAAGCGTCATGAATAGTTTCCCTCTGTCTCACCTCAGCTTCAACTTGCACGACTCGCTGGTTCGACCGGGACGACCCTTCAGGAGTGGGTGACTTTGAAACTCTCGCTGACCTGAGGAGGGAATATCCCATGGACATTTGCCCTGAACCCATTGGAATTGAAGCTCAGACCATGGAGGGAATCCCAGCGTCCAGCACTGGGCAAATCTTTCATCCGTGAGTGGTGCCAGGACAGCATTAGGGATAATTTACTGAGCAGCCTTCCAATGTTTCTGTTATGTGTCAGTTGGCCCAAGTAGGAATGTGGGAGGAATCTGCTGGAAGCAGATTATCCGGTGGATTTTCTTCCATCTGCCCACAGACTCTTGCTTTGAATGCTGTGTGCTAGGGGTCACCAAGCTTTTTAGACCTGGTGGCACATTTGAGAGAGTGCTGAGGATACCATGGGTGGGTGGCATAAGACAACATGGCTGTCATGGGGAGCATGCCATAGAGAGATACAGTCATTGTGGATTTGCCACCCTCGCTCATGGGTGATGTCACACTTACCATGAAAAGTCATCTGTGTCTTGCTGGTCCTGATTTCCGAAACCAGGACGCTTTGCCAAAATGGGAAGAACCATTTGGACTTGCACCCATCCCCTGTATCTTCATCTTAAAGTTTTACCTCACTCCCTTCCCAACCCCAGTGTGGTTTATTTGAGGTGTTGGAAATCTGTAAGGATTAAACTGTGGTTCTTGGGATACTTTGGGGGTAGGTATGCAGCCTGTTCACTTTCTGAACAGAACACACATTTATGAAATCATGTATTGCAATCAGAAAGGACTTGTTTTTGCACAGCTGGTTCTTCCTGCCTAAATGCAGAACCTTACCTTTGTCCCTATTGAAATTTATTTTGTTAGCTTGGGCCCAGTTCTCCAATCTGTTAAGGTCATCTTGAATCCCGATTCTGTCTTCTGTGGCAATAGCTACCCCTCCCAGTTTGGTATCATCTGAAGATTGGATGAGCATCCTCTCAATTCCTTCATCCAAGTCATTCATAATGGCATTGAACAACAATGGGGCCAGGACAGAACCCTGTGGCACCCCACTTGTCACTTTTTTCCAGGGTGATGAAGAACCATTAATGAGCACTCTTTGGGTTCAGTCAGTCAACCAGCTACAAATCCACTTCACAGTTACCTCATCCAGCCCACATCTTGCCACAACTTCTCTGCAAGAATATCATGGGGGACTTTGTGAAAAACTTTACTGAAATCAAGAGTAGATATGGTTATAATTGCAACCATATAGGGCTTTGTGCTGGCATGTCCAAAGTCCTAATCCAGCCCACTGCTTGGTCTAATCCAGCCTCTGTGGCAGTTTATTTCCTGGGGTAAAATCCTTTTTTAAAAAATAAATATAAAATGATATTTATTGAGAATTTAAAATTACAGAGAGAAAAAGAAAAAGAAAAGAGAGGGAAAAAGAAATTAAACAATACAAGTCAATAAAAAGAAAAAAGAGAACAAAACACACAATACATCAAAACCAAAAACAAAAGCAAACAAAAAATTAAAAGCAAATCCAATAATCCCAAATCTTTATCTTTCGTTATCTTGTTTCATCGACCTCCTCACACCTCCCTTTTTTGTATTCTAGTTATTAATTATCTCAGCAAATCCTTTCCATCTTTCACTATGTTCTGTCATTAAATTGTCTTAATTTATTTTAACCTCATCTTACCATAAAAAGCCCTAAAACTTAAAACTTATTTGTACATAACTCCTTATAGCATTTCTACTAAAGCCAAATAGTTTCATTCCAACATTTTTTCTAACACTCATTAATTTTACAATATTTCTCTAAATGAATTTTTAAACTTTCTTCCAATCTTCATCCACCGTCTCTTCTTCCTGGTCTCGGGTTCTGTCAGTCCTTTCTATCCATTCCATTTAGTCCATCAACCTGGTGATCTTCTATCCGAGGCTCTTAACTCTTTTCCATGTCCCTTCTGCAGATCTTCTTCATATTTATACCTGCACTTTACTTTGTCTTCTGCTGATCTTGTTCTTAATTTCCTTCCTTTATTGCTGAGGAGTAGATCTCGGGGAGACTCCAACCTAACAATGTCTTTATCCCTTCTCGACAGGTCAGCCCATTCTCCATAGTCAGCACTAAAATCCAAAAGGTATTTCAAGGCATGTTTCAAAGTCCCTCCAAAGTTAAAGGCCCCCACAACTCCAGACTCCCCCTGGCGCAAAACCAGATCCCAGAAGCCAGAACAGCCCTGCATAGGGGGATCTATCCAATTTCCCATCTCCAATCCAAACGAGACTCCATCTCTCCTAAACTTAATTTTTCCAGGTTTGGTCATCAAAAACAACAGCTTATGTTCCTGCAAAGCTCTCTCCACTTGTATTACTTGAGGTTCAACAGCAACCTCCTCCTTTGTCTTCTGCACAACTTGCCCTGTCAGAGCAGATTCCTGGGTCGGTTCCTGAGTGGTTTCTATATAGGTATTCACTGTTTGTCCAAAATTATTAACTGCAACAGTCATCAAATCCATCTTCTCATGTAGCTGTTCCAATAAAGCGCTTGTCTTGCAAAAAGCAATCACTAAGGCTTCTTCTGCACACATTCTTGTTCAAGGTCAATGTCTGGTTCTCACGATCTTTAATCTCTACAGCTGGAGAATTCCCCAGATCGACTCCAACAACAGTTTCAAAAGCTCCCTCTAGGGGAAACAATTTCTATTTATATCCGTCCTTTTAAAAGCAGATCCAGCAACAAAATTACTTTCGTTTTTCAAATATTTTGTTCCTTTTAAGTGCAAAAGGAAACATTGGAATCAATATGTTTCTCTTTTTTAACTATCTGTCAACAAACGTTTTATTCACAGTCAATGAACTTTCCCAAAACGTCTGTCTTCCTAGCAACCCGTTCCCAGGTTCAAGGTGGTGGAAATTTATCTTTCTTTACTCTCTCTCCTGCAGGCTTGAACAATCTAAGATTTCCCCCCTCTTCTCCTGCTTCCAGGGGGGTTTAGTAGTTTTAGCCGATGGAGATTTAGTCCTTTACAAAAGACTTTCCAGACTTTAGCTTGCAATGTCTTTGCTTCAATCTATTTACAAAAGTGGAAGGCGGACTTCCTGTTTAGAACCTTCCCGCTTCGGTGCCAAATTAAGATGTTTCATAGTCCAATTTTCCGTTCTACTCACGGGTAGTTGTTTAAAGTCCAATTGTCCACAGGAAAAAGTCAGCACTCTCTGGCAACAGCAATGCGGCTTCACTCCGTGAAAAGAGCAATCGATTCGAAGCACCGCGCCGCTCACCCCACGTTACTCCGGATCCCCGAAACCGGGTTTCCCCGCGAGTAGGAGAGGCGCAAAAGGTGCCTGCCGAATCCCACGTCCACAGGCTTCTCCCGCCTGCGGTTTTTGATGGGTCTTCCGCCTCGCCGTGGCGGTCCAGACCCTAATTTCCACGAAACGGATTCCTCCCGATCAGAGGAAATCCGCCATTGCGCTAACCCGGAAGTCCCATTTCCTGGGGTAAAATCCTAAAGCTCAACAACTTTGGGGTAAAACCATAAAAAAGCTCAACAACTTCAATCCTAAAAAAAGCTTAACAACTTTGGTCGGCCCTCACAGCCCTTCACTTTATCAAATCTGGCCCCCTTTGAAAAAAGTTTGGACCCCACTGGCTTTGTGATAAGTCACTTGATTGACTTTGTCATCAAGGTGCCAAAGGACACCTTACTGTAGAAGTTTAACAGAGCTACCCTGCGGAAATTCATTAACTTTGAAAACAAGCATGTAAAGAAAGCAACCAATTTGTAAATATTTGTTGATGGCTATGTATACATACATTTTCACATCAGCAGACTACAAAATAGAAAGCACTTTATCAAAGGAAAGCAAGTGCAGTGGAATGGAAAACACCAGGGGAATGTATGACTGAATATCAGAATGGATTAAGACACCCAGCAGATCCCTAGCCGTTATTCATACAGATATCGATGACTCCTACCCAAATTATTATTATTTTTTAAAAAAATATTTTATTAAGTTTTCTTTCCAACAGTTAGAAATTTACAGAATGAAGAATAAAGAATAAAGATAAAGAGAAAAATAGATACATAAAAACCAACTTTCCAAATTATTTTTGCCATTCCAACTGGACTTCCCCACATCTTCCGAACCCTGCGTTCTTTGCAATTAGAACATCAGCAATTTGTTACCTTATTTCATATCTTATTGTATCTTTCAAATACTATGTTTCTAAGTTCAAAATGCTGTATCTCCGTTATTTGTACCTTAAAAATAAACATAGTATAGTTATTTCATATTGTCCACCTCATCTTTCTTATAACTTAGTTTCCAATTCACCTATTCAAGTTGCTGAAGCAAAAGTTTCCTAATCGTACACATTCTTAACATTCATACAGCTTATAATGTTTTTGCAAATAGTCCTTAAATTTTTTCCAGTCTTCCTCCATTATTTCCTCTCCCAAATCTCGGATTCTGCCAGTCATCTCAGCCAATTCCATGTAGTCCATCAACTGCGTCTGCCATTCCTCCAGCGTGGGTAAATCTGGTGTCTTCCAGTACTTTGCGATGAGGATTCTTGCTGCTGTAGTAGCATACATAAACAAAGATCTATCCTTCTTTGACACCTTCTGGTCCACCATGCCCAGGAGGAAGGCCTCTGGTTTCTTGGGAAAGGTGTATCTAAATACCTTTTTTAACTCATTGTAAATCACTTCCCAGAAGGCCTTCACTTTTGGGCAGGTCCACCAGAGATGAAAGAATGTCCCTTCCGCCTCTTTACATTTCCAACATTTGTTATCAGACAGGTGATATATCTTAGCAAGCTTGACTGGGGTCATGTACCACCGGTATATCATTTTCATAATGTTTTCCTTCAAGGCATTACATGCCGTGAACTTCATTCCGGTGTTCCATAACCTTTCCCAGTCCTCAAACATAATGTTGTGCCCAATGTCCTGTGCCCACTTTATCATGGCGGATTTTACTGTCTCATCCTGTGTGTTCCATTTAAGCAGCAAGTTGTACATTTTTGAAAGTATCTTAGTTTTTGGTTCTAACAGTTCCGTCTCTAATTTCGATTTTTCCACCTGGAAACCAACTTTTTTGACTCCTACCCAAATTAGCACGTGCAATATTCCATTGCATGTGTGATTCAGTGAAAGTGTTGCTGCAAAACGTAGTTGTGAAGCAATAACAACGGGTGTGATTTCAAATTGCTCTGATTGTTTTACATGAAAGAATACATACATGTGGCAATCAGTTCTCTTGTTGCATCTCTTCTTCCCTAGTAACACAGGGAGAGACTGAATGAAAGAACTCCTGGCTTGATGCTGTCAAGGCCGAAGAAGACATGAATGTTATTAGTGTGCTTGTTAACATTACATAGATTGTTATGTGAATGGGGAGGCATGATCAGCCTTGGGAGGGGAAGTTTTTCTCTCCTTGCCATGGACCCAAGAAAAATCGATTCTTCAAAGCTGCTCTTTGTATTTCAAAGGAAGGTTCTGTTGGATCCCAGGTTCTGTTGGATCCCACTTTAGTGCAGATTATCTCTCTACAACTTCTTCTCTCTTTCCTGGTCACGGTTTGGTGAGTCAGATTGCTTCTTTCGTTCTCTTTCTCTCCCCATTAGGTTTAACACTAAAGAAGGATTTGCTTGTGTAAATAAGGAGCAGAAGTATTCCTGCTTGGATTACAAAGTCCGCTTCACCTGTCCCTCAAACTTCTGCTCAGGTGGGTCAACCAGGACATCTTGTGGTGAGATGGGGGAATGATCTCCAACCACACCATAATAAGCCACGCCTGTATAACACCAAAACAATAGCTCATAAATTAAAAGCAGGAGTCTTTAGTTTATATATGAGGTGTTGCTGACATGGAACCCACAGTGTGCTGCTCCTTTGTTAAACATACCCCCTTAAACATGCCCACATCTCACTGGATGGCAGTGGTTATATTAAAAAAAAGAAGGCTGTGTCCACACAATAATTTATTCCATTTTCCACAATTGTTTATTTGCACATCGTATCAGAAGGTCGGCTGTTTGAATCCCCGTGACGGGGTGAGCTCCCGTTGCTCGGTCCCTGCTCCTGCCAACCTAGCAGTTCAAAAGCACGTCAAAGTGCAAGTAGATAAATAGGTACCGCTCCAGCGGGAAGGTAAATGGCATTTCCGTGCACTGCTCTGGTTCGCCAGAAGCAGCTTAGTCATGCTGGCCACATGACCTGGAAGCTGTAGGCCGGCTCCCTCGGCCAATAAAGCGAGATGAGCGCCGCAACCCCAGAGTTGGCCACGACTGGACCTAATGGTCAGGGGTCCCTTTACCTTTACCTATCTGAGCATTCACATGACATAATTTAGTGCCCAAATGTCTTGGGCCATCCATCTGCTCCACATTTTACTAAGGGCAAAGGAGCAGGTGTTCCTCTTCCCTGCAACCCACTTCTGCACTAGTGGCAAGATAGTATCCTGCACTGCATGGAGGATAGTGGTAGCAGCAGGCTAGATTAGGGGATGGAGGACAGGCACTGTGGGCGCCACATCTATCCTTCAACAGATAACAATGCCTGGGGGGTTCACTATTGGGCTTCACGGAGCGATGGTCTGAATCAGTATCAGGCAGTTTCCTGTGTTCCTCTGTTCCAACTTCCTTGTCCTCCCATACCTGCAACCAACAATCATTTGAGTCTTGCCTTGCCTTTTCACACTTTAGGATGCATGACCCAGTGGTTTGATCGGGACGATCCATCGGGAAGGGGAGACTATGAACTCCTTTCCAATTTGTGGAGCGAATACCCTGGCAAGATTTGTGCTGAGCCCCTTGCCATCAACGTACAGACTCTGGATGGGATTCCTGCCCTGAAGACAGGGCAAAAGTTCTCAGTGTGAGAAGACACTTTTGTGATGGTTGTGAACTTTTTTTACAGGTGCCAGATAGGGTTTCATGTATTGCACTCTAGCTTAGAAATGGGGAACCTTTTTCTATTCCCAAACTTGGCCCTCCAGATGTTTTGGGACTACAACTCCCATTATCCCTAGCTAACAGGACCAGTGGTCAGGGATGATGGGAGTTGTAGTCCCAAAACATCTGGAGGGCTGAGTTTGGGGGTGCCTGATCTAGACTGTCAAATGTGACCCTCCAGGCCTCTCAATCTGGCCCCCGGAACTCTCCCCAGCCACATCCTTCACCATCCCTGCTTCACACCCTCTTTGAGTGCTTTTGTCCAGTTTCCCTGGCTCCTTGAGCTGCAATGATGCCTCTTATTTAACTGGGTGGAAAGAGGTGTCCCTTGCCACAAGTGTCCATTTGGCATTGCATTTACACTCGCCTTCTCCTTTTTCTTTTGATGCTTTGTAACTGTTTCCTACCACTTTTTAGATTGTGTTTTGCATATCATGTTGGGGCATACGTGGAAGGTGATTAGGGAACGGCAACAATTAAAGAAATGTGTTTGTGCAGAGGAGACTCTGGCATCTGCACGCTTGGCAAGAGTCTTGTCTATTGTCACCTCTCGCTCCGCCAGCCAGTGGCTTGTGGCTCACACCCTCCTTGCATATTTCTGCTGGCTGGGATGTATCCTTGCACTCTAATAATGCCTCTTGCTTGTCTGGGTGGAGATGCAGCGGGTAAAAAAACAAAGGGAAAATTGACTTCAGTCGCTCTGTTCAGTTCTTCTGGCCCCCACCTGCCAATAGCAAATGACTCCTGGAATTTTGTTCATAAGGGAATGTATTTGTTTTTATTTACTTTACTGATTAAATAGTGTGTGTGTGTGTGTGTTTTAAATGTTGCGATGTATGGTTTCTTCGTTTTCCAAAGTGCAGAGATGAGTGTGGCTCCTATTACATAGCCAAAATGTAACTAAATTAAACATAGATGGCTCAGTTGGTTAGACTGTGGTGTTGATAATGCCAAGGTTGCAGGTTTGACCCCCGTATGGGACAGCTGAATATTCCTGCCTTGCAGAGGGTTGGACTAGATGATCCTCAGGGTCCCTTCTGACTCTACAGTTCTATGATTACTAAATTAAACTAGGGCCAGGGCTTTTTCAGTACTGGCCCCGACTTGGTGGAACACTCTGTCACAAGAGACTAGGGCCCTGCGGGATTTGACATCTTTCCGCAGGGCCTGCAAGACGGAGCTGTTCCGCCTGGCCTTTGGTTTGGACTCAGTCTGACCCTTATGTTTCCCTCCCCTTATGGTTTTGATTTATGGGCTACTATTAAAATGAGGCTGCATTTTAAATTCTATTTTAACCCATATTTTAACCCGTATTTTAATTAACTGCCCCCCCTTCCTATTACATTTTATTGTAATTTTATCAGTGTTAGCCGCCCTGAGCCCAGTTCTGGCCAGGGAGGGCAGGGTATAAATAAAATTATTATTATTATTATTATTATTATTATTATTATTATTATTATTATATTAAGATGTGGAAAACAACACCTGTAACATCCAATTTCATACAGAGTGCTTCCCCCCAACCTGCTGTTATTCAGGTATGACCCTACTCAAGGCTTTGCCTGCATCAATGATGAGCAAAAACCTGGTCGGTCCTGCCATGATTACAGGGTCCAGTTCACATGCCCAGGATCCTTCTGTTCTGGTGAGTTCCACTATGAGTCGATAGGATATTTTCTACTGGGAGGGAGTGGGCAGTGGGGATGGCAAACCTCCTTAATGATTGTTTTGCCAAATAATAGTAATAATTTATTATTTATATCCCACCCATCTGGCTGGGTTTCCCCAGCCACTCTGGGCGGCTTCCAACCAAGTATTAAAATACAGTGGTCTGTTAAACATTAAAAGCTTCCCTAAATAGGGCTGCCTTCAGATGTCTTCTAAAAATCTGGTAGTTGTTCTTCTCTTTGACATCTGGTGGGAGGGCGTTCCACAGGGCAGGTGCCACTACCGAGAAGGCCCTCTGCCTGGTTCCCTGTAGCTTTGTTTCTCGCAGTGAGGGAACCGCCAGAAGGCCCTCGGAACTGGACCTCAGTGTCCGGGCAGAACAATGGGTGTTGAGATGCTTCTTCAGGTATACTGGACCGAGGCTGTTTAGGACTTTAAAGGTCAGCACCAACACTTTGAATTGTGCTCAGAAACGTACTGGGAGCCAATGTAGATCTTTCAAGACCGGTGTTATGTGGTCTCGGTGGCCACTCCCAGTCACCAGTAGGAGATGGTTCTTTTAAAATTAGATTCAGAAGCAATACAGACGCAAGTGGGTGAGAAGGTTATAGATTTTATTCTAAACAGCAAGCAAAATGTACATTACCAGGCAGCACTTTGATCTGCTACTGAGAAGCCCTGAAGAAGTGGCAAAGTGACCTCCAGGTAGCTTTTGATGCACACAGCACTGTGGCCAACAGCCTGTGGTGAACTGACTGGCATGCCCCAAAACTAGATATTTAATAATAATAATAATAATAATAATAATAATAATAATAATAATAATTTATTTATACCCCGCCCATCTGGCTGGGCTTCCCCAGCCACTCTGGGCGGCTTCCAAAAGAATATTAAAATACTATAATACATCAAACATTAAAAGCTTCCCGAAACAGGGCTGCCTTCAGATGTCTTCTAAAAGCCTGGTAGTTGTTGTTCTCTTTGACATCTGGTGCGAGGGTGTTCCACAGGGTGGGTGCCACTACCGAGAAGGCCCTCTTCCTGGTTCCCTGTAACTTGGCTTCTCGCAGTGAGGGAACCGCCAGAAGGCCCTCGGTGCTGGACCTCAGTGTCTGGGTAGAATGATGGGGGTGGAGACGCTCCTTCAGATATACTGGATACTGTGTCCTGTTAGGGCCAATACAGGCTCAACTACAAGCTCAAAGACAAAAAGCCAGGCTATACATCAAAGGCTTTTACTGACCAGTGCCAACAGTCCACACATCAAAGACCTTTTTACGAAGGATAGAGAAAGTAATAAAACATAGGCAGAGACAGGAAGAGTTGACCATGCCAGATCACTTATCTCCTCGAAATTACAATAATCTTCCGCATTATCCACACAATGATATATCTATAAGTAAGTGATTGGTTTCAGCTTCCTGACCGGGTGGGCTTTTATTTTATTTTTTGGGAGTAAATATTTGATTTTTCTGAACATACAAATAACAAACATCAACATAAGACTGAACCACAAAACATCTGCTGTAGCAGTGTTCGTTGTGAACATCTTGGAATGGTTTATACATTATAGTGTGGGGGGGTTAATCTTGCTATTTTACCATTGTGAATAAATAAATAAATAAAAGTCTGCCAATTTTTGAGCGTTTTAGTTGCCATAGGAATAGGCGACAGACGGAAAAGGTGAGTTAAAATGTGGTACGCTATTCATTTCCATGGAAGTGGGGTTTTCCCCCCAAGCCAGGATGGATTTATTTCGCTCCGTATTTGCAAAGCTTTTAAATTACTATTTTTCATAAATGATCTGTAATTGTGTTTTTCTACCACACCCAAATATTTCATGGCTTGGTATACCTGCGTTGTCTATTTTGTTTATTTTTGTGATCTGAATTAAAGCACAGCATTTCTGATTTCTTTAGGCTAATCTGAAGGCCAGACCTTCTGCTTCATTCTTGCCATGAGAGGCATTGCCTTCTTTTCTTAATTGTTAATTCAATAAAATCAGTGTGTCGCCAGCAAACATTCCTATGCAGCATTGTGGGTGATTAATTTGGACTCCTGTAGTTTTAGGGTCATTTCTAAGTACTACAGCCAGTGGTTGCAAATGAATAGCACCTTTGCCCCCCGCCCTGGACATGGAAAAAAAAAAGTGATCCTCAGGCTAGAAATATTTCCCTCCTCTAGTCTGGGCTACTCCACCCTCAATTCTCTCTGCCCTACAACATTTTACAGCCTCTTTAACTTCAGTGCTTCTTGTTCCTTTCCTCAACTCTCCCTCACAATACTTTATAAACAGGCCATTCAGCGAATGCCAGCAAGTTCCACCTGAATCTCCTTCTCCTTCTCCTTTTCTAAAAGATCTCCAAAAGGTGTGTTATAGGCATTGTAATTCATGGTTGCACAAGGTTGCATTTAACTTTCCAAAATGCAGAACTGGAGAAAGTCAATTTGCACTTCCCAGTTGAGTCTTCGCTGAGTCAACTATTTCCTTCTGTGATGGGGAAGTGACCTGCAAAGCTTCACATTCTTGGGAGTCATGTGCAATTGTTACCGCTGTCTCATATTCTAGGTGTCCCCCTGACTATTTACCGGGGGAAACTGGGGAAGGGTCTCAGTTCAGTGGGCCGAGCAGATGCTTCAGGTACAAAAGCTTCAGTTCCAGGCACCTGTCTGAAATGCTGGGCAGCTGCTGCCAGCTGGTATGGACCACAGATTAGGAACCCCTTTCAGCCACCTGAGGACAAAGGCCACTGATGGGCAGGGACAGAGGTAAAACTGGGTGGAGTAGTGGGTATGATTCTTACCTTTTACAGTAGCTACATTCCAGCCTCACAAAAACCAAGAAGTTTATACATGCACACACGTCTCCATCCACCATCCAGGCAAGCATGGGGCATTATCACAGTTCAAAGACACATTTCACCCAAGCAAAAGCGCTTGAGGAGGGGAGGGGGAGTGAGGGGTGTGCCCACTGGGAGAGGGCCTTTCCTAGGCAGAGGCCCATGGGATGGAGAGAAAGGCCTGGACAGCCACATTTGAGTCCATGCACCTGAGAAACTAATGTGCTCCACCACAAGAAAGAGTTTCAAAGCTTTACTGAGAACAGTCTTTAAAACAGTTACAATTAAATCTTACAAGATACAAAGGAACACATTGTTGTTACACAAGCAAGCAATGTGGTCCAGTCTTTTTTTAGGTCCTAATACTGTATCCACAGCAGTGGCCAGAGGAGAAATGACTGTTAGGAGGAGCACAAACAGAAGAAACACAATTGTGCAACTGTAGCAGCAAAACTAGACACCTGTATCTGCTCCACCTGCAATAAAACTAGTCTCTCCCATATAGGTCTGTACAGCCACAGCAGGTGCTGTAACTCTCCAACAGTTTGAGTTAACCTCAAAGGGGCATTCTTCCATTGTCTCCTGAGACAGACAGATGTCAACAACAGTTCAATACAAATTTCTTCTCTCTACTCCCAGAGAGAGATCCTAAGCAACTTGCTTGTATCATCATTGTGGAGCTTAGCTTCTATTGCTGTTACTGCTGGCTCCACCAGTGACTAAAGACACTGGGCTTATCGGGTTTCATCTCCTGCTGTTAAAGATCTCTCGGTTTTCCAAAAATGAGTCATCACTTAGCCTAATGACTGAAATGAAAACATCCGGCCTTTTCTGCTGCATTTGCCAGAGTGAAACCTCCCGTGCCTAATGGAAGCCTCCCATTGCAAATGCAAACCTTACAGCGTAGCATTTCAAATACAATGCACTCAAGCATAACATTAAATGTGTATTAAACTGATATCTTTAACACCTCAGTGCTTTTGCATGGAGCAGGTGCTTTTGCATGGAGAAGGTCCCAGAAGCAAGGTGGACCAATGGCCTGATTCTGTACAATGAAGCCCTCCAGGACCCCTGCCAGATACACCCATCTCTGGCCCTGCTCCACACTCTCCTCGATTGCTTTTTACCTGGCTTGAATGTGTCACTGAACTGTGATAACACTTCTTGCTTGCCTGGATGAAGGACGGACAGACTGTGAGCATGTTGCTCTGACTTTTGATGACTAAGTGTGTAAGAGTCACATCTGTCGTGTTGCCCAATTTTGTCTCTGGCTCCACCCACCAACATGGGCACATGACCCCATGGAAGATTGCCCAGGAAGGAATGCAGCCCTCAGGTTGTGGGGAAAGCCCAGCCTTGCTCCAGTGTCCCCCACCCACCCACCCACAAATTTTATTAGCTCGTAATGAATGAACTGAGTCTCCTTGTGTCTCGACATGTGCAGTTTCCATCACGTCAGAGGATTTGGTTTTGCACCAATGAGCAACAGGAGGGTGTCAACAAATCCTGCCAAGACTACAAGGTTCAGTTCACCTGTCCAAAGACAATTTGTTGACGTGAGATACATTGACGGGAACGGAGAGACACTTTGTATGCAGGGAAAGTCTCCTGCCTGTAACCATTAGGTACCACTGCTTGCCAGTGTACACAACACTGAGCTACATGGAGCAATAATATGACTCTTATCAGATATTAGGTGCCTTCAGGCCCCAGGCCTTTGCTCAGTGTTCAAACCAAAACAAGGGTGAGCATACAAAACTGACTTATACTGAGTCAGACCATCTTGCTCAATATTGTCTACACTGACTGGCAGAGGCTCTCCAGAGTTTCAAGTGGCGGGTATTCCCAGTCCTACCTGGAGATGCTAGGAATTGAGCCTTGGGTCTTCTGAATGCAACACAGATGAGTTGTGGCCCTGCTTAATTACACTGGGTTGTGGCCAACTACATTCTACTCAGATTGAACCCATTGAAATTAATGGTCCTATGGTAGTCATGGCTGTTAATTAAATGGGTCTACTTTGAGCAGGGTTAGCTTTCAAGCCATTATTTTCAATGCCACACTTTTATGTTATTTTAAAAAATTCTTCATTTTCTTAATAATAATTCTTAAGAAAATGCAGTTCAGCTGATGACCGCTCCTGAAAAATGTTGCGCAGGAGGAGAAATGCTGAATGCTCTCATAAGAGAGACTTCTCTTCGCCACCTGAAGTTCCCCTTCATTACTGATATAAAATGTCAACAAAGCATAATGATAACAAAGCAGACATGCATGAAGTGTAAAATATTGACTGGGCAAATCAAGCGAACAAATAGAAAATAAAATAAACAGTGGGGGGTATGAGTAACTGCAGCTCATCTATAAACTCGTAAACAGAAGGAGGTTAAGAATATATATTAGAACACTCCTGGGGGCACAGAAAGAAGAGCTTTCTGCTGCATGTTAGATTTCCCATTTACTCTGCATCCACTCTGCTTCCACCACTGGTTTAGAAAGTTACATGCACAGTTTATATCTACGATCCATATTCTAACCTGTATCTATCATATTCTTTCTTGGAAATGCTGCGTTTTGATGCATTTTCCCCAAACCAGCTTCCGTGCAAATAGAGAAAAAGAACAACAAAGCTACATTTTAGGCCCCTGATATAAACGGAACCAAGGTACGGAACCAAGTGGATTTGTTTGAAGTTCAGGTACAAGTCAGCTTGCAGAAGAGAGGTTGCATGGAGTTAAGACAGAACGAGGAACTTCTAGAGTCCCATACTATCCTTGAACCTTTGTTGACTAGGCTGATACATCTTAGGTTGCGTCCTGTTTACAACTTCCTCCTCCTCACACTTACTTCTCTCTATCGGACCTCAAGAGGAGAAGTTCACGTTGGAGTTATCCTCCGAGAACAAAGGAGCAAAGAAGGTTGCCTTTTGTCTTCTCCAGATGAGCTAGTTAGGTTAGAGACCTATAAAGAAAAAAAAAATCTACCTGAGTTACTTCCTTACTATAAATTACTTCGTTATTTTTCTTAGTCTACAATCATCTCCGTGTGTGATACTGAAACAGGTGGAGTCTGCTCTCCAACCAGATTCACTAGCCAAACGCCCCAAGCTTTGCCTATAGAATCGCAGAATGGTAGAGGTGGAAGGGACCCAAGGGTCATCTAGTCCAGCCCCATGCAATGCAGGAACATGCAGATAAACCCTGCGGCCTTCAAAGAGCTCTATCAAGTAAATGGAGTCAAACTTCTAACAGGATTGCCACGGGGGGAATAAATAGGCGCCTCAGCAAGCAAGCTCTGTTGTATACAGGCGCCACGATTGTTGTCACGATCAATATCACCATTCTAAAACGGATTCAGGACCAACAATGTTTCTTTTCTTTTTTTAAAAAAATATTTTTATTAAACAATTTCAGCATAACAAAACATCAGTCTAAATAATCAATTACATAATCCCCCCGCCATCCCTCCCACTCTCCCCCCACAAGGACTTCGCTGAACTCCCCTCTCTGATTCCTTTGCACATATTGTTCTCTGCGCGTTATAAAATTGTACATATCTTTGCCTTATCTAGCAAATGTTCAACTAATAAATTTGTGGATGTATATATTCAAAACCTGCCAAGGAGTTCAGGTCATTTTGTTGTCCTTTTAAGTAATTTGTAAAAAAGTTCCCATTCTTCCTTGAAGTCGCGATTGCAGGACCGACAGTTTTTCTAATGACAGAAGCAAGCGTCCCACTGTGTGTCCAGGGTCACTGCGGGCTGGGACGGAGCAATGGCGGCAGAAGTTCTCTGCACATGCTTAGATGTCACTGTATCCAGCCTGGGAAGAATGCCTCTGAGCGCGTCCAGAGAACCGCTCCTCCTTAGCAATCGCTTATTCCGCGAGAGCGACGCCTCTGCGCGCGTATACAGTGGTACCTCGGGTTAAGTACTTAATTCGTTCCGGAGGTCCGTTCTTAACCTGAAACTGTTCTTAACCTGAAGCACCACTTTCGCTAATGGGGCCTCCCGCTGCTGCCGCGCCTCCGCCGCATGATTTCTGTTCTCATCCTGAAGCAAAGTTCTTAACCCGAGGTACTATTTATGGGTTAGCGGAGTCTGTAACCTGAAGCGCCTGTAACCCGAGGTACCACTGTACTCTACAAAACTCTCCTCGGGATTGCGAGAAAGCGCTCTCTGGACATGCTCAGAGGCGCCCGGTGCATCCCCCTACTTTGGCTCCTTGGGTCCAATCGGGAAGCTGAGCGCGCTGGCTCCGGTGCCCAGCCCTCCTCCGGGCCGGCCCCTTCCCCGCCCCTTCGGATCTCGCCTCGACTTGGGCCGCCCGAGGCAACAGCCGCCGCTTCTTTCGCTTTCCGCTGCGGGTGAGCGAGATGTCGGCGCGCTGTCGCTCCGCGGGGCTCCTCCTTTATGGGGCGCTGCAGCTGGTCGGGCTCCTGAAGGTAAGAGAGGCAGCCCTTTCCATGGGCTCTCCCACCCCCCAGGACAGAGTCGTCGTCCCCAGGTTCCCCCACCCGGTGTCCTTAGAGTTGCCCCGTCCCATTCAGCCCCCAACCAAATCACAGAGGCAGGCTCCCACCCAACCCCCATCAAAAGACCCCCTTCTTTTCCTAGAAGCACCCTCCGACCCCCAAACCAGCCCTCTACCGTGTCCTTAGGACCCCCAAGAACCGAAGCCAGGAAAAGCCTCTCAAGTCCGCCCCCCCCACCGCCAGGTTCGTGCCCGGGCAGTGCCAACCATTCCTGCTTTTCACTCTAGGTTTCCCTAGGGCAGTGTTTCCCAACCACTGTTCCGCGGCACACTAGTGTGCCGCGAGATGTTGCCTGGTGTGCCGCGGGAAAAATTAAAAAATTGAAAGATGTTTTTTTTAAAAGTCAAATTTTCGATTGGGGCGCCGTCACTAGATGACCCCTGGGGTTCCCTCCCTCCCTCCCGCTCTGCGCCTCCCTCCTCCTCCTCCTCCTCCGGGGAGGCCCTTCCTGGCTCTCGGCCAAGGCTTGGCGGCTGCCACTCACTCACTCGCTCGCCCACCCGTCCCTCCATCCCTGCACCCGGCCTCTCCCCCTCCGTCCCCGGCGCGGGGGCTGCCGGGATCCGTAGTCCCCTCGCCCTTGGGCTCCGCACCCGCGCGGGGTGCGCGAACTACGTTTCCCAGCGTGGCCTGGCGGGCCGGGCGTTTTGTTTGAAGCGCTCTTCTCCCGGCCATGGAATGAGCGCAGCGGCGGCGGCCGGGCGGGCAGGGGCTCTTCCGCGCAGACCCCGCGCAGCCTGCCTGCGCCCCCCGGAGATCGGGCAGCAGGATGGAGCCCGGGGATCCCCGCAGAGGCGGAGCGGCGGAGGCGGAGGCTGCCCCCCAGGTAGGGCTGCATCGGGGTTTTTTTATTTTTGCAATGCTGCATCCGCGCCGGAGGGGACGCATCGGACCGCGGGGAGACCCCTTGGCGTGCATGCAAGGCAATGCATGCGTGCAGGCGTTGCATGGAGTGCAGTGCAATGCAATGGCAACGCGGCGCCCTGCATGCATGCATGCATGCAACTTCCACCGGCGCTCCAGACTTGGCAGGTGAGGGGGGTCCCCAGTGGGCGGCAGAGAGAGCCGGGAGGGCGAAGGGGAGCCGGGGGGGGAGCAGCGCTGCTCCCCGAGCCGAGCCCGGGGGGAAACTTCAGCGTCGTTGCACCGGGTGTTGGAAGCGGAGGCTGGCGGGGGCCCCTCACCTGCAAAACCTGGTCGCCTCTCATATATTTCGTGCATTGCATTCATCGCCCGCTTTCTCCTCCAAGGAGCTCCCGGGGGCGCGCGTGGTTCTCCCCGTGTTATCCTCGCAACAACAGCCCTGCGAGGTGGGTCAGGCGAGTGGCCCAAGGGAGCACCCAGGGATTGTCCTGGCCAGGTGGGGTGATTTGAACCCTGCTCTCTGCCCGGTCTTCGTCCTCATTTAGCCCCCACATGTGCATGACTGTGCATGACTGAGGTTTTCCCCCCTCGTCTTGGCTATGGTGTGAGTCTGTGCTGTTAATTAATGGGGTTCTGCCTTCGGAGAAGATGAGCCAGCCCTCAAGGAGGTGATTATGTAATTTGCTAGCAATTCATGTCCCTCCCGGCGTGACGCTGCGCGCTGACGTCACGGGGCTGTAATGGTGGTGTGCCTCGAGATTTTTTTCATGAAACAAGTGTGCCTTTGCCCAAAAAAGGTTGGGAAACACTGCCCTAGGGTTTATTTTTAATAGCATTAAGCAGTTAAGAATAGTTTTTAATTAATTATACTCCATCCACTGCCAATCCCCCTTTAACAGATTCCTTATTGTGTCTTTAAAGCACAGCCCCACATTCGATTCATCACCTAAAGTTCTCTGGTGTGCATTCCATGTCTCCATGAGAAAGGCAGATATCCAACAGGTACATGCAACAGTGTGGCTATGTATCTCCATTCACGGGGAAGCTGCTATATTGCTCCTCCTCCCAGAATATTGCTCTGTCCCTTCCCCAGAGGCAGAAGGATTACAGTGGTACCTTGGGTTACATACGCTTCAGGTTACAGACTCCGCTAACCCAGAAATAGTACCTCAGGTTAAGAACTTTGCTTCAGGATGAGAACAGAAATCGTGCCCCAGCGGCGCGACGGCAGCAGGAGGCCCCATTAGCTAAAGTGGTGCTTCAGGTTAAGAACAGTTTCAGGTTAAGAACGGACCTCCGGAACGAATTAAGTACTTAACCCGAGGTCCTGTTTCTGGGTTAGCGGAGTCTGTAACCTGAAGTGTATATAACCCGAGGTACCACTGTACTTGCCTCCCCACCCTAAAAAACATATATTTGAATCTTTCCACATTCAGTGGGGCAGGGAATGATTGATGGAAAATGCAGGTTACCATAGCTATAAAACTTTTCAGCAGCTCGTATAGTCTTTGCATTACAAAGGAGGCGATACAGGCAAGGTACTAAATAAACACTGTGTAACGCAAAGGTTTAGAAACTTTGTGAAGACTAAGCCTTTGTAAATGCCACTGGACTTTGGACCGTAGAATATATACAGTAATACCCAAGCAGTCATATGCAGCTTCACGACACTGAAGTGCAGACATTGTGTGCTCTATCAAGTCAACGTGTTCTGAAATATCTACCTGAGCTGACTGGATATTTCTGTCCAATGCTGACTGCGCCGCAGCCATGAAATGCAAAGATCTGGTCGACCCAAACTCTGATATCCTCAAGAAGAAAGCCTGTTGCAACAAGTGTGTTTGAAGAAAACACCACAGGCGCATTTTAATCTATAGTTTTCTTCAGAGGCAACAAATTGGAAGAGAGCATTCCTTGTGGCTGGGCTCAGGAAAATCCCTACGATTGGCAATTCTGCTGCTGCAGAGTTTTGCAGTTTTAAGAAAAAATTGTCCGAGTCTCATCTGCGGTACAGAAGTCTCCAAGTCCCAAAGAGTCTCGGTCTTCACTTTTGTCGTAAAGATGTGCTCGGTTCTGCTTTGGGTTGCAACAGCCTTCGCAGTCACCAGGATCAAAATATCTGGAAGAAACCAGGCCAGGAGTGGTTGGATCCAGACCACGTTTCAGCTTTTTCCAGTTGGAGTTTTGAGCAGATAAGCATTAGACTGCCTGGTGCAGACTGTCTGGCTAGGAACAGAGTATTCCAGGTTCAAACTTCTTTGTGGCCGTGGACCGGTTGCGACCCTTTCAGCTTGGCCTACTTCGCAGGGTTCTTAGGAGGATAAAATGGGTGGTAGGTGGGAGGGAGAGAGAATGGTGCTCAGCACTTTGGGCTCATTGAAAGAAAGGTGGGATGTAAACAAAACAAACAGATACCCGTTGACAGTCCTCCAGGAATGTGTCTCATCCCATTTTCAAGCACAAGCCCATTATGTGCCTACTCAGAAGTAAGTCCCAAGATTTTTATTTGAGTTTCCATTGAAATGAGGCTGCATTTTAATGTTTTAGTGTTGTATTTTAATCTTGTTTTTAAGTTGTATTTCAATCAATTTGTTTTTATATCGGTTGTTAGCTGTCCTGAGCCTGGTCTTGGCTGGGGAGGGCGCGGTATAAATAAAAGTTATTATTATTATTATCGAGTGCATGGGATTGCAGCCTAAAGCTCACGGCTGCCACATCTGGTGGCTGTCACTTTGCTCAGAGCTCACCCTGATTTGTTGGTGAAAAGTTTTTTTTCCAGAGAGGTTAGGTGATGTTGGTTGTTTATCGAGTGTTTCTTCTGATTTGTTTGTGGGCTGGTTAGATGACATCACGCCGAGGAATTGTTATGCCACACTTTCCAGCACATTTTCCTGGCATGTTTCTTACTGCAAAAAAAAAAAAATCATTTTCTAAAAAATAAAAATAGGAGGGGCAGCAGGTTTGTTGAGCAAGGGCCCCAAATTCACTTCAGTTTCTGCTGCCTGATTTTACTGGTGCCTGATTGTATCTCTTTTGCAAAATAGCAAATCTGGAAGTGTCCTGAATTGCTTTGTTTCTATATCACAATTTCTCTGCATTGGGCTGTGGCCAACTAAGTCCTATGTACTTAAGAGTGAACCCACTGCTACATCCAGTGCTAGCCTTAGGCATCTGGTTGGCCGCTGTGAGAACAGGATGCTGGACTTAGATGGGCCATGGGCCTGATCCAGACAGGCCTTCTTAAAATAAAACTTCAAGCCCTTTCTTAAAAATCCCCAATACAAAGCTGCCCTTCCTATACCTGTCACGCAGCTCTTTTGAGGCATGTCAATAACTTGTGTAAGGGATGTGGGTGGCGTTGTGGGTTAAACCACAGAGCCTAGGGCTTGCCAATCAGAAGGTCGGCGGTTCGAATCCCCGTGACAGGGTGAGCTCCCGTTGCTCTGTCCCAGCTCCTGCCAACCTAGCAGTTTGAAAGCACGTCAAAGTGCAAGTAAATAAATAGGTACTGCTCCAGCGGGAAGGTAAACGCTGTTTCCATGCGCTGCTCTGGTTCACCAGAAGTGGCTTAGTCATGCTGGCCACATGACCCGGAAGCTGTACGCCGGCTCCCTTGGCCAATAAAGCGAGATGAGCGCCGCAACCCCCGAGTCAGCCACGACTGGACCTAATGGTCAGGGGTCCCTTTACCTTTACTAATAACTTGTCTGTGTGGGGTGGACTCTTGCGTTTAAGTTTCTTTTCTTTGCACTGAGTTGACATTTGCTGCTCACCACAACCCCTTTTTTTCTGGAGAAAGCACAATCTGTTAAGGTCCTCCTGGTATACATGGGAAGTTTTGGGAATTTACAGTTTCTTTTTTTCTCCCAATGCCCTCTTTCTTTCTTTGCATTTCATTTACATTAGAACTCCTCTTGTCATTTTGTTGCACAATTTGAAAGAAAATTGTTGGAGACCTCTGCTTGGGATTTTGCAGTTCTAAATAATTATGCATCACAACCATCGACAGAAGCTCTACATGCGAGCAGGACTGAGCTGCTTTTTCC